CCGGGCACGGCCTGCGGCCTGGCCGCTACTTGGAGGCGGGCTCCCGGCTGGGCCCCGATGGGCTAGCCCTGGCCATGGATCGGGCGCTGCAGGAGAGGAAGCTCGGCTCATCCATGAGCAGGGAGGAGTTCCTAAGGAAAGCCACCGCGCTGTTCATTGCAAAGGTGAAGCCTGTGGAGTGATGTTGAGTGGGAGCAGCGCTGGCTGCGGCCGCTGTTGACCCCACTGAGCTGAACGGTGAGCATGGGGGGCTGGTCAGGCACTGGCTGGAGAGCCTGGGTTTGCCCGACAAGAGATTGCCCATTTCCGTGCCCCTCCCCTGTTCCTGCTCAGCAGGAACTGTGCTCAGCAGCTCTGTGCCCCTACTCACAGCACCTCGCCCAGCCATGGCTCCTCTGGCCCAGCCGCATTGCGAAGTCCCTTTCAGGTGTTGTCCAGAACTGGCACGAGGACTATGACCTGCAGGGCAGCTCTGGGCAGTGAATCAAGCCAGAAGGAACGAAGCTGGGCCATGGCTGCATTGGGACAGCTCCGTGAGCGTCATATCTGGACAAGACACATCCCCTTCCCCTGGGACGGGGTTTGCTTTGGCACCAGCTGTGTGTCAGGCCAGGGGTTATTTATTTGAACTTTTGTTTGTTATTTATACTGTGCAATTGCTGGTTTGCTGTAAGATATTAAATCTTTTTATTATTTTTTAGTGGCCAGTTTCTTACCACCTGGCAGCACAGGGCAGTCTCCATCCTTGGGGGCTGGTGTGGCTGTGGAGCACCTGGAGTGCAAGGGCTGGTTGGAGAATCCCCACAGGCTTGGGATGTTGTATTGGGTGGGGGCAGGACCTGGGGCTGGCTCCTGACCCAAGCACAGGTGACAGGATGTGACACGAGGGGAGGTGTGAGCCACGGGCACTGGAGGGATCATTCTGCTGGGGCTGTGCCAGGAGCAGCCTCTGCTCCGGTTCCCTGGCAGAGCGGTGTAGTATCACACAGGGTGTGACACCCGCGGGCTGACAGGTGCAGTCACTGCTGAACGCTGACCTGGGGCTGCAC